GCATAACATATCACTTTGGTCCCTGAGATTGAAAATCAATAGAAATGGTCCCTGAGATTGTCCACCATCCATTATTTTGGTCATTCCGTTAAATGTCATGGAGCTCTTGGCCGAAAGTTTGGGCAATTTTTCAAAGCTTCGTAACTAAATCGTTTCTTAACCAAATTCGACCCATAATATATCAAAATGAAGATAGGAAAGTGTAGAACAAGATTATACCTATTTGGAAGCCCAATGGTTGCCAGAGATGGCTGGAAAATAGCCTGAAAGGTGACTAGTCCGCGGGAAAACTGGAAAACTCATCAAAAATTGGGTAAATTTTAAACGTTCATAACATCTTCAATACTCAACGCAATCAAGTGATTCAAAAATGAAAATCATACTTCTCGACGAGACGAAGAGAATGGTACCTTTCTTGATAGCTAAGGCCGGAAAATGGCTCCAAAGTGGCTGTCTTGGTCTCGAGTTAGCCACTTTCGAGTCGTTTTCCGGCCAAACCACGACGAATTAGCTACCTTCTCTTCGTCTCGTTAACAAGTATGATTTTTTTTTATTCACTCGATTTTGTTGAGTATTAAAGAATTATGAACGTTTAAAGTTTACCCAGTTTTCGGTGAGTTTTTCAGTTTTCCCGTAGACTAGTTACCTTTCAGGATATTTTCCGGCCATCTCCGGCAACGATTGTGCTTTCAAATATGTATAATCTTGTTCTATACTTTGCTATCTTCATTTTGATATATTATGAGTCGAATTTGGTTAAGAAACGATTGAGTTACTTGGAGGCAAATAGAATATGAAAGAAAGCATTTTATATGCGCTTTGAAGCAATCTTCCATCCTCCATCACAACCATATCCCACATGTTTACAAAAAAATTCAAACATCACCCCCAATGTTGATTTCTTCCATACATTTGGATGTCTAAAAGATATCCAATTCAAATGATTTTTGCATGAGTGATCTTCAAATGAATATCAAGAAAATTAACGGTTTCAATTCTGGAAATAGTAAAAATTCACAAAAAGTGAGATATGTGCTTCTGGAACGCAAAAATTATCCTTTAACCTTTCACACCCCGAAAAATAACTCAATAAAAAATAAAGGTTAGAATTAAAAATGAATGTAAGAAAAGCTAAAATAAATGTGCTGTCATTTTCCTTTACAATTATCCCACCCTTAACGCCCATCGAGGGTTTGGCAAAATAATCTAAATAACTTGCATTGAGTGAACTCATCAAATTGTGCAAGAAAAAGGACAAATAATGTGAGAGAGAAGAGAAAATAAAAAATTGGTCAATGGGCAGCACGCACCCAAGATGGTAACAAGAGGTAGGGTTTGCAAATGGTAATGGACAAGAAATAAATAAGAGATGGGCAGCACGTGAAATCCACCTGATACCATATCATTATCAGGCTTTTCCTATCAGAGTTACCTAAATTTCAATGAACTTTCATCGCACTACACGGCTCTCTTACCTTTCAAAAGATTATACATATGTATAGTCCTTTTTATGAAGCCACTCTTAAATTCTTAATCTTATAATCCTTTAAAATAAACAAATAATAGCGCATGAAAACATGAACGTATCCATATTAATTAATGAAAATACATACGGCGTCATGTACTCAAATTATAGATTGAAACTTTTTTTTCGCAATTTAGATTTGTTGAACGTAGTTATATAAAACAAATGAAGTTTTTACTACAAAACAATAGCATGCATAGTTAAACGGAAAGATATGATAATGTTGGTATACGGTGTTTCGAGTTTAGGGTTTGGGGTTTAAGATGCGGATTGGCCGTACGTATGCTAATTTGTGAAGAGATTTGGAGAGTTTTAATTTTTGTTAATTTTTTTTAAGATTAGGAGATTGTTTGGAGGAGGAGAATGAAACGCCCAGAATCTCTGGTTTCCACTCCTTTATTCATGACATGGAGACAAAACTTATCGATTTAAATATATATACATATATTATATATATTTCACCATCAAATCTGTGCTTAATGCCTGTCGGATCTGTATTATTGCATCCAGAAGCGTTTGAACTTGTCAGGCATAATATACTTTTCCAGATTATAGTACGAACGGTGCATGTGCAGGTCCGTGTCCATTGTGTGTACACCAGCTAACGGCCATTAAATGGAGTCACCAACAATGGTGTCTGTTAATGTCATATGTCATTTCTTGAAGAGGTATTTCTCAATTTCCTTAGTTCTTCCTTTCAAATTGATAGGGAGTTGTCAATTTTTTCTATGATTTAATTTTAGCCATCTCTAAACATTTTAATTAGCTAATTTTTCTTTTTAAATTTTAATTTTAGTCGATTATCCGTGTCCTGAAATTTTTTATTGGTTAATTTTCTCCTTGAACTTTAAATTTCTAATTGCAAAAAAATTATTTTATCCCTAATTTGGACAACATATTGTTTTCTTGTTCTTTTTCTCCTCAGCTAGTTCACTTCCTACACTTATTTGTTTGAATTTTAGAATTTAGGGGGGAAATTAGAGTTCTCAGTGGGGGAACTGGCCAATTATAAAAATTCAGAGAAATAATCGACTAAAATTAAAATTAAGGAGAGAAATTAATCAATTATAAAAGTTCAACGGAAAAACTAATAGCGCCTTACAAGTTTGCGCGGGAGAAATCAATCAATACCTCTTTCTTGAAATGTAAAATAAGTGAAGAATTCACGCAATAACCGAGTACATGGATAAATACTGTTAATAAATAAGAGATTTACAAACTCTTTGCTCACCTATCAATCACTAAAATGTCCTATTGTTTGACTAAAGAACAATACCAAGCTAGTTATTACAAATATATCATCATCAATCATCATTTGCAAAGTTGGCATTTCCAAAGATGAAGTTATCTACGTAATCTTATGATGAAAGTTTGGAAGAGTTAGATATGTTTTAATATTTATACTCAATCACAAAGCAGCATTTAGATCACTAATCCAACATCAATCCAATCAAGTTGGGTAAGCAGTCTTTAACTTAATAGTACAAATGGTGCTTATTATATATATACACACATAGCAAAAGTCCTTTTCTTTTGGTAGAAACCTTCAACGCGTTAGAATATTTCTTTCAACCCCGTACAAAAGTCAAATAATGTATAAAGTTGTAAGAGGGTGTAGCTGTAGTCGGTAGAACATTTTACACTCATGCACAGTGAGAAATCAACTTTTCAACACTTATTATAATATTAGAACTTAACACGTCATATTTGACATGAAAGACACGGCAATTTTAGTACATATTGCGAATAGGCGTGATATCAAATCAAAATAAATGCTAAAATAATAGATTCAACCTCAAATAACAAGAGGGCAAACGTAGACAAAGCATAGTTTTGATGTGGCTAGTGACTATACATTTGTACAGTTTTGGTCCTTCCTTTGCGTGCATGCATGAACCACTCCCATAGTTCAATTATTTACCAAACCAAAAGGACATTTTGGCATGTTTTTATGGGATCAGTTCAGATTCCAGGAAAGATGTACCTGTCAACCTAAACACACAAAATATAAACTTGCAGGACACTCCCTCTCCTTTTATCTTTTGGCTATGAAATTGGCAAAAGAGAATCTGTAAGATGTGAAAGTTCCTTGAAGAAAAAGGTTAAAACCCTAAAAAGGAGGTTTATCTTCATCCTTATGGACCATGCATGGCTAGTGGTAGATGACTTTGTTTGGCCATTTGCCGCGTGGCAAGTGGTGCTGATGATTGGAGTGCTCGGCTCCCATTGGCCCACTACCATGTCGTTTTTCTAGTGCTCCTTTGGAGAAACGACACGTAGGCAAGGGTTACTTTCCAAGAAAAGCGTAGTCCACAAACAAAACCTTACCGAGAAATGTAGACACATATGCACCTATGTGCAGATAGACATTGTAGCAATGGGACACATTGGCATGCGACAATTGGTGAAAAATGACATGTAATCAGACATCCCATGACACATGTCTATCGGAGGCGAAATCTTAGCAAGTAGGAACAATCTTACCTATATTTTGGCCACTCGATAACATGATATGATGAGTCTATAGAATTTTAAAACTTTGTGTTTTTTTCTTTAGAGAAACACTAACAACTGTCTTAAATTGAGATTTTTAATGGATTTTTTGGCATTTTATGTTTTTGACATTATGTTTTATAATATTAGTATGGAATGTTAAAAAGATGTGATGGAGAGAGTCCATGAAGAATTTTATTTTTGAGAAAGTCTCCTTAATATTTATATATTCTTTATTACACAATAAACGAAATAAATACGTTTATACAACTGACTATATACACAAAATGACTCAAGTTGCACAAGCCTTTGATGTGTTAAAAAATGTTAATTCTGTTGTGAAACTTTTGTTACAAATGTAAATTCATCTGATGATACTAGCATTCCATATTTGTTGGGAATGTTTGGAGGAAGGGTGAGAGCTGCTTGAGGCTGGGACCAAGGCCCTAGCAGACTTATGCAGGGCCGTGCTCCTAGACTCGGAAGATGTAATTAAGGAGAGAAGTGCAAAAGAAGAGAATAAAAGCGTGAAAAAGCAACACCAAATCAGAAATTAAGACATTCTAACATTAAAAAAAAAAAGTATTTCGAGTCTTAAACTATAAAAGAAGGTATATAGTAAAGCTCGTAATAAAATCACACCATTTGCCATGTAAATTTTCCATGACATCATCTTTGCAGATAAATCTTGTCATGCTATACCAGGTAGGTAGGTAAATCGAACACAAAGCTCCCTGAAGATAAAATTGGCAAGTAAAAGAAGAGAATGTTTTACCAAAACAAGACATGAAAATGGGAATAAAAGCAGGTTAAAAAGCCTGTAAACAGAGCAAGATGTTGATATAAAGTAACCATGGTTAACAGAAGATGGAGTCCGCATAAGACGGAAGCCTAACCATGGTTAGAGAACTTGGGTTAAGTTGCCGGTAATCTTCGGTGTGGATTGTTCCTCTTGCTATATATACATAGTGAGAGCAGACTGTGCAGAGCAGCCATTGTCAAACAAAATATATATTTATATGCTGATTGTGTGTGTGTGACTGCTGCCTAAAATCCCTTGAATCCCTTCTTCTTCTTCTTCCTTCAGCTCCTCTGGTCGGTACTCTGTTTTTATAAGGACTGAAAAAGCTTAAAAGCTCCAAAAGTCTCACTGTGTAAGTCTAAATTCTCAACCATTTTTTGAAGTTGCGGACTTTATTTTCTGCTTGTTTCTTCATTTTTCTTTTCTGGGTTTGATCAAAATTGTTCATTTTTTCTGTTAGTAATCAAAAGAATGCATTTTTAATGGTTTTTTGAGGGATTAATTCGAAGAATTCTAGATCTTATGATACATTTGTTGCTGGGTGTGCTGGGTTTAGGAAATTGGGTTGTGGGGTGGGATCAAGTTGCTTGCTTTATCTGTTTTGTCTTTAATTTGGTAATGATCTTGTGATTTTAACTGGTTTAGGCTTCATGATGGTCAAATTTTTGCTAGATCTTGATGGTGGTAGAAGCTTTCTCAATGGTTTTTCTTTCACCTTCCATCCAATCTTGCCATTTGGGTTCTCAAGATTTGGATCCATTGTTGTTGTTGTTTCTACATGCTTATTTTTTGCTTCAAATTTTTAATATCTCTGCTGGGTTTGAGGTAATAATTTGTTCTGCTCTTTTTAAAGTCCGGGGTATAAAGCATGGTTATTTCAGTTATATTTTTGAACGTTTCATTGACATTAGGGGGAAAGGGGGTGTTTTAATAAGAAAAGGTGTTGAATTTTCAATTCTTCTGCGGGTCATGCGCTTTTCATGTCCCTATATTTTGTGGATTTGCTGGATCGGTTTTGTTATTCTGTTTATTTGCGTATTCATGATCTCCATCTCTTTTCGATTTGATCAAATAATCTTTGTGCTTGATACGAATTCCGCTGTGAAAGTTTAAGCTTTTAATGCTCAAGGGTCTCCTTGTGATCAATTTTTATGATTCGATCTTGTTTATATGAAAGGTTTCTAATACTTTCCTTTATTGCATTGCAGGTCGGATTACACCAAGATATCGGTGACATTTCAACTTCGTTTGAATTAATCTGTCTCCCGTTTCGTGTCTTTGCCAGTTGATTCTGGTTTCACTGTCCCTCAACAATCTTGTACTGATTTTAGCTTGAGTTTGGATATTCCGGTGTTTACCATACATTTATATTCACAAATCCGAACCCCTCTAACATCGGTTTTGTTCAAATGGGTCTCTCAAGTCTACCAGCTCCATCAGAAGGAGTTCTATGTGTGCTTTTAGTAAACACAGCCCTATCAGTCTCCATTATCAAGGGGATAATCCGATCAGTCCTGCAAGTAGTTGGTATCCGTCTCACATCAGCCTCCTCATCTTCTTTCCCATCAGAAGACTCTGCTGAAAACCTCTCAGAATCATTTGAGTTCCATGTCAATCCTTCGGCTAGTTACATTGAGGACATCAGGAGCCATATCCCAGCAATTCGGTTTGACGCTGTGTGTAGCTTCAAGCAGCAGAAACACGAATGCTCCGTCTGCCTAACCGAGTTTGAACCTGAATCAGAGATCAACCGCTTGTCTTGTGGCCATATTTTCCATCAACATTGCTTAGAGAAGTGGTTGAATTACTCGAACGTTACATGCCCTCTTTGTAGGACTCCGTTTATGCCTGGGGAGGACGCACCCTGCTTCTGGTAAAGGGTTTGCAAAGCATGAAAATCGCGAAGAACTTCACGTACAGTGTTTAGTGTACAGGTATTTTACAAGAACGCATCGCCGGGCCATAGTGTTGTTATACCTATGTTATGTGCGAGTTAAAACTTTGATAGTATGTCGATCGGTCTCACAGACCAACATTTTTACGATTGTACATATTATGGAGTTACCGAAATTTACATATCTACGTTTGTCTTTGGGTTATGTTTATCGAATCTTCGAGTTTTACTTGTGTCATGGTTTACTGTGATATTCCCTTTCCTACTACTTCCAATCATACTTATGCAGCCATATATTGTATAGTTGTGCTTAAGCTGCGCTTTGAAAAAAAACTGCTTTTACTGTGCTGTGATAATAAGTTCATTTTTGTTGTTTCACGTTTTCAGCTTTTTTTCATCCAAAATTGTAAAAATAAGCTGTTTTTATTTACATATCCGTGAGCCCAATACCAGAGTTCTAGTTATATATTGAACGAAAAACATGAAGTTTTCAACTCACAAGGGCCAATGTGGTTTTGGTTTGTAAAGTCCGAATGGTTCTTAGACTATCTCTAATTATCGGGTTAAAACTTAAAATTTAGGTTTTAAACCTTCTAAAACTTGCTCCAGGAAAATACCGGTCAAGATCTAGACCTGGGTTAGTGGGGCTGGCCCACGGTGTGCGTGGACGCGCTTAGGAAAATGGGAAACTGCAACAAGGTAACAAGGCCAACTCGTTGAACGCGCGAGGCATTGACAGCAAGGGGGCCCCACCTTGATGTGATTGTCAGCCACCCAAAACGAGCCCAACGGCTCTATTCTGATCTAACGGCACGAGTTATTAAATCATTGGTTGATCAAGCGGTATATATTCAAAATAATTAATTTTAAACATTAAATTTATAAATACATTAAATCAGTGACTGAGATCGGTAAAATCTATAGTTAAAAAAAAATTCAACGGCCCAAAATTATATCCAACAGCTAAAACAATTTAAAAATAATTTATTGGCTAAACACATGTTTCATGGGGTCGGTTTAATGAATTTAATATTTATCGAAACCTAAATATTTTTTGGTTAAAATGTTCATAAAAATAAATTAGGATAATCTACTTAATTTATTTCTAAGAAAATTACTTTAAAAAACATTTAGCTTAAATTCATTCTTTAATAATCTCAGATTAAAATTTTAATCCAGAATCATTTTGGAGAAGAAAAAAATGTTAGGGTAAAAATTTTTAGGTGATATTAGGTGTTACTAAACGTATACAACTAGTGATCGAATTTCTCTAGGTGTTACTAGTTGTATACATATGGTTCTGTATAATGGTGAAACGTCCAATTTTCTTGTGAAATATAGGGTGGAGTTTGCTTCCTTCTTAATGAAGGTGTTATGAATCTATGGATGGAGTTTTCATTTTCTTAAGTTAACATCAAGGAAAGTGAAACTAGGAGGAGGCTTTCAAGGACCATTTCTTAATGGTTTGAGAAAATGGAACAAACCCTAAGAATTGAAGCATCAACTGAACACTTGAAACAACTGTTTGGAGGAAAAAATAGCTACAAAACAATAAACCCTAAGATCAAATAACGTTATAATGGTGGTCCTTTTTTTCTTTGTAGCTTAGTAAATTGTGTTTTCTTCTACGGTAGTGTTATCCACACACTCATTTTTATTTCTCACACGCTCCTTTTAGTTTTCAACCAGAGGTGGTTGAACCGCACACACACTCCATCCCCGTATATTTTGGTACCACTCATTTTAGCCTCATGTCTTGTATCTAGGGCTTGCATCTGGACGAAAGAGTTTCTCCACCGATGAAAATTGTAATAAAGTCATTTGCTTTCAAGCACCTTATAGTGCAGTGCATTCTGTCATCACAAGCCAAAAAACTTGATGGGGATGAAAGAGACCTTGCAGAGGGATTAATAGGGAATCATGTGGGCAGACTCAAAGCTAAATTCTTGAACCTTTGTTTAACATGAACCTGTTGATTAATCTAAAATTTTGTTTTTTCACGTATTTAATTACATATTGTATTCTGGGAGCCGAATATATTTTGGAAGTTTGGAATTTGAAATAGTTCTAATACGTTACGTGGCAGTAAACATATGAAAAGTTGTAAGAAAGTAATATCAGTACATTTTCTAAATAAGTAACATGCTCTTAAATATAATTTTTTTTTAACAAATGATATTATCTTTGTTAATAAGGTAGAGAGTGGATTAAGCCTTACAATGGGAGCTAGCAATAATGTGGTTCAAATTTACCTTCGGCAAGAATCGAACATAAGATCTCTTATTTATAATATCATTATACTATAATATTAAATGACTGCTCTTAAGTACAATTTTAAAAGAGAACTGTTATTAGCACACTCAAAATCTCATTCTATACTCTTTACAAATGTATTTTTCATTCTAATTATAAAAAATTTAAAATACAAAATAAAAACTTTAGAGTACCAATAACAATTATTAAAAAAAAAAAAAAAAAAAAAAAAAGCTGCCAACTTCTGCTATTTGTGGAAGACAAAAAAGCTGCCAAGCATATTTGAGGGTGCCATGTTGTCATGCTTTTGGCAAACTTTTAATAAAGTGATTAGGTGTGTCCAAATCGGTAGTTGCAACTAGAATATGGGAACCATCATTAGACATGATCTCTCTTTTTCTCTCTCTCTCTCCCTCTCTCCTCTCTCTTCTTTCTTTCAAGTGAAGTAGCCATATTTGACTATAGTTTTAACTTTGGAACTTGCCTCTCAAGTAATTTTATCTTCCTTGTTTCCACCTATTTTGGTGCATTTAGGGCTCGTTTACTTATTCATAATCAAATTGAGAGGAATTGAATTAAGGTGGAACCAGAATCGGATTTCTGTTGAAGTTGTTTACTAAAATTGTCTGGATTCGAAGTATGAATGATGTTGAGTTTATATAAGTTGTTTACTAATTCACTTCAATCGGAATGAAAACTTGGTTGATTACTGTATTGCCTTTACATAAATAAATTATTTTCACACTAATTAATTGTTTACTAATTCACTTCAATCGGAATAAAAACTAGGTTGATTACTAAATTACCCTTACATAAATAAATTATTTTCATACTAATTAATTGAATTAAATTTATATAATAAAATTCATCTATATAAAAATATATAAATAGGTTTTATTTATTTATTAAAAGATGGCATAATGAGTATCAAATGAAGGGCAATGTTGGGATAATTAGAAATAAGTGAGGGCATAATTGGTAAATAAAATTCATTCCGTATTCCTCAAGTCACAAGGAATTGAAGTACCTCCCTTACGTAGGGAGTCCAATTCCTCCAAAATTAGGAGTTGGATTCTTTAATGCGTGTGGACCCCACATGTATTTTGATTTCCTAAAATTACGTAAACAAAGGTGTACGCCGTAATTGGAATCCAATTCTGTAAATTGATTCCGATTACGGGTACGTAAACGTATTGGGGAAACTACTACTCATTTGAAAAGTGAGCTGCCTTGGCTTTTTTTTTTCTATCACTTTTCACCCATGGTATAATCATTTATTTTTATTTTCATGCATTATTCAATTATATATGTATATTCAACGCATAATGCACAATTTTAATACTGTGATTGAGTTGATCGAACAGTTTTTATGAAACCGCGTGATTGTATTTCGACAAACAGACAAGAGAATCAAGGCCATGCTGAATTTCAAGGTTTCTGCAGCACCTTTAACGCAGTACCCATTACTTGTAAAGATGCTCTATGGAGGTACTGAATGAATTTCCATGACACTATGCCAATAGGATCGAAATAAAATTTTGGTTACGAACCAAAACTGTGATGTAGCTATTTCTAATTCATAGGTGATTAGTTGAAAATGCGCTTTTTGATAAGCTCACGTTGAAGAGAGTTTCAAACTGGTAAAACTGTGAGTTAGTGAAAAACATCTGAAAGTTTAGCAGAAATACATCTATTGAGAAGTAGTTGATCACCATCGATTGGAAGTTGATATTTAGAAAATAGGGTTAAACTTGAAACATATTTGACGGTCATTTATCGAGAAAAAAATTTTATGTTGTCAAACATTCTGATATGCTCTGCTCTATCGTCAATTTTAATTAATAAATAGAGAGCGATGTATGATTCATAACTTGACAACGTAACGTTTCATATACCGAATATAAAATTATTGGTTGTTAAAATTTCGAGAAAGTTATAGCAACAGTCTCTCAATTTGAACTCAATTGGAGCAATTATCTCTCAACTAAATATCTATTACCATTGGTCCCTTAACTCATCAAAACGTATAGACATGGTCATTTTCGTTAACTCTATCAGAATTCCGTCAAAATGAGTTATGTTGTAATGATCATTGCTACAACTGGGTTAGAGTTGAGGAACCGTTTTTCCAATTGGATTAAAGTTGAGGGACCATTTTTCCAGTTGGGTTAAAGTTGAGGGACCATATTTACCTATCGATTCAACCTCATGTGTGTGACACATAACTCATTTTAACAGAAGTTCTAACAGAGTGGAAGAAAATAATAAAAGTTGATTACTCCAAGTGAGTAAAAGATGATGGGCTATTACTACAATTTCCTCCAAAATTTCGTACATCAATTTGTTTTTTAATTTTCTTCTTCTCACAACTCACTCACAAAGCAAAGCAGCAACAATTCATTCTATCCAGTTTCTCCAGAGTCCCAAAGCTGAAGCCTTCAAGCTCAGCACCCATCAAATGACGGACTGCCCCTTCAGCCAGTCCTAATTTACCATCCCAGCACCGCCCATTATGGCTTTTCACTGCCCCTGCTCCACTGAAGCACTGGAGTCGCGGCGTCTCATGGGCGTCCCGGAAGCTCACGCTCGTCCTCGGCGCCAACACCACCTCCTCACGAAGCAGACCCACTTCCCCTCTTCCTCCTCTTGGCTCGTTCGCTCCGTCAGCCTGAGGTTTTTATCACCGTACGTTTCGATTTCAAAATTTTCAAGTATTGTTGTTGATTGTGCTTCTGAATTTGTTTGGGTTTTATATGCTTCGAATTATGCACATTGAATTCAGTGTCTTTTGTCGTTATAGAGTATGAAAGCTTGCGTTTTTCGATGTTCTGGAACCGGGTTTTATTTGGGTCTTTTTCGTCTTCAGCATTGCTCTACTCGCAATGTATGTCAGCATACATTTGGGAATCAGAGTCAGTGTCATCTTGATAGGAAATTGTGTTTAAGTTGAAGCGGATTATTATTTCAGTATCCAAGGTAATTATGTTCATGTTTTTGGTTAATCAAATCATAGGAAGCATGAGGCACACCATTAAGGGAGTTTGAAATATATTCGCTTGATTACATGTCAAGTGGTTGGCATTGGTTCCAACGAAATTTCCAGCATTTGTAGTTACTCTACCCCTATCCGTGCATGCTATGAAAACATCGTTCAACAGATGAAATGTGGGATTATCAAATTAAATGCCGGTTGCTGTAGTTCCTCTGTCCGTATTTGTGCATACTCAGGAAACTTCAGCATTTGTGTCTCAACACAAGATGAAAAAATTACATAGAAATGCTTTAAAAAATACTTCTGTTAAGTCTGACTGTCTTTGTACTTTGTATATCTCTGTTTTTCTCTTTTTCTCTCCTTGGAAGGATTTATACATTATGGTATCAGAGCAGGTATCTATACCATCACATTGTTGAGAGTTGTCCCACATCGGTGAGGGACAAGGTTTGCTATGTGCTTATATGGTCTTGGACTACTCCCCATATTGCCAATTGGTTTTATGGTGGAATCTCAATTTCATCACTCATACCCCTCGGAAATGCGTTCAGATTCACTCTCTGTATGGCAAAGCATAGTTCTTTCCTGAGTTCTCCTATGATGTCCATGGAGAAAAGTAACGCGACTGTACTGTTTTTGAACATCTTTGATACTGTTTCCTTGTCTGTGTTAGTCTTGCATTAATATATTTAAGCTCATTTCATTGTCTGGTTTGAGAACTTCAACCTACACCCCACCCCCTGGCGGAAAAAGATGCATTTGTAGTAGTAATTTCTCTACTGATAGGACTTATCATCCTCATCTATGTTCAGACAGACAACTACGAGAATGCAAAGAATTAATTTGAGATTTTTCTTTGCATTATGCTTCACTGGTCTGAGCGATAGTGTTGTAATCTGAAGTTTTCCTTTCCACAATGATCATTCTTAGTCTTGTTTCTACCTATGATAAGGAATTCAAGGGAGGAGTCCTTTTATTTGCTTCTCTCCCCATTGGTGCAGTTTGTGTAAAGCTAAGGAGGAGAGTGTTAACCATATTTTTCTTCATTGTTCTTACACGATTCAACTGTGGTGGAAATTGTTTCAGGAGGTTAGAGTTAGTTGGGTCATTCCAAAGGGTTGTTTCGAGCTTTGAAGCACCAACTTTGAGGCTCTAGGAATTGGGAGGAAAGCTAAAGCTTTGTGGGGTTGTCTGGTGTCTGCAGTTTTTTGGAACATTTGGTTGGAGCGTGACAAAAGAATTTTTGAGGATTATACTGGTGTGGGGGTAGCAGATCTATGGGGAAGAGTAAGATATTGGGCAGCCCTCTGGGCTTCAGTTTCGAATGATTTTAAGAATTACTCTCTTTCTCACATACTGTGGGATATGTTAGCAGTTGTAAAGTGATTTTGGTTGAGGTTTTCCTACTTGTAACAGATCCTCTTGAGAGATTTTGTTGTTCTGTTCTTGGTGGATTTCTTATCCACTTCTGTGTATTTCACTTTTCTTTTTTAATAAATTGTTATAGTTTCTTCTCAAAAAAAAAAAATATAAGGAAATATGTAACCTCCTTTTTTAACGTTTTAAAGAAACAAGGATTATAAGAGAATGCCTCTCTTAGTACTAAAGTAAACTATTATGTCGTTAATGTTACACATCAATGACAGCATCCTTTCGGTAAGTACTTTCCTATAGTTAAAAATGGCTTATGGATCTAGAACACTCTGGTTTCTCAGGAAAGTCAAATGCTGCTTCTAAAGGAATGTGCAAGATAGTCTGGACAATAGAGGCTGATCTAGAAGCTGGCCAGTTTCTATACATAACTGGGGATCCTACTGTTCTTGGCTGCTGGGAGCCGGGGATTGCTATACTAATGTCTCCTACGGAACATACAAACTTATGGAAGGCTGAAGTCAAGGTACTTTTGCCTAGTTGCACAAAGTAACACGTGATTATGTTAGTTTTGTGAAGCATGAAATGATGCATGAATTACGGTATCTGTCAAATATGAGATTTATTTATTTGTTATGACTTACACAAATGAAAGCAAACAACAAAATCCATACACATGTTTCTAATATGATAAAATAAGTAGTTATGGATTTCCCGTTAGCATAGAAGTAACTAGAGATGTTTCTCCTGGGAAAAAGACGAAGAGAGACACAGAGAGGTAGAAATATTTCATTTTTATTTTATTATATGCTGTAAGGTTCGCTTCTTCACCCTTTACTGTTCGGCAGATTAATGGTGGTGTCAATTTCAAGTATAACTATTTCATAAAGACAGAAAGGTGACCTTCATATGACATCACCTGGAGACCTGGACCTGAATTGTCTATATCTGTACCCTTACCTGTCAAACAAAGTGGAAAAATTATAGTGCGGGATTCATGGATGAGGACCGATACCACAATGTCTCCGATTTGTTCATGGCATTCGTGGATAGAGGAGGCATATCTTCCAATACAGCCTTTATTCTCAGCTCCAGCTAGAGGTAAATCTCCCTCATAATGCCTTGGTATATGCAATCTCTTTCCTTGACATGTTTCTGAACACTCAAATGCTTCCAGTGGTTTGACAGATGAATATGAGATTACGAAACACCTTAAAAGTGATATGATTGAATCAAAGCCAGCTTTAAATCTTCCTATGGAGAACGCTGATGGCGAACTTAACGAGGGCTTAATTTCCAGTAGTGAGATTTTAGAGTTGAACCCATTCTTAATTGAACCAATGGAGGATAATGTGTACTCTGATGGCGACCGTATAGCGAATAGTAGTCAGAGGGGCTCAACTTCTATTAGTTGTTCAACTGAAAGACATTATCCTGTTGAGTAACCCTGGTTACTCCAGTCACCTCTTTTCTGTTTTGTGTCCAAGGATAAGATGAGGTCTGATGTGTCCAAAAAGAATGACAGCATAAAAGATGGTGCGGAGAATTTGGAAGATCCAGAAGATTTGTTGCCTGAAGAAAGGAATAACCTAATTTCGAAGGAACCTGTTCCTACAGTTATACTGATTAATTCTTCTGTATGTAGCATGCAAAGGATAGCTCTACTGGAATATGGGAAATTGGTTGAGTTGCTACTGGAACCAGTTAAAAGTAGCGCGGTGTGATAGCATGTATATAGGTGTGGTTTCGAAACTTGTCCCCCATATGGGTGGTGCATTTGTAAATATTGGGAGCTCTAGAACCTCTCTAATGGACAGTAAACTAAACAGAGAACTATTCATATTTCCTCCATTCTGAAGGAAAAAGAAAAGTGAAGTCAACAGTAATATGTTGGATGAGCACATGACTGCCTACGAAAATGAAAGTGTCACTTGATTATGAAGCGACTGATGACATCATTGAAATCAGCTCTCAGAACAATTATGTAAAATCGATGCACAATGATGTTGACGATGATGAGCATGATATTGAGGATGAATTTGATGTTTCACATGTTAAGGAAAACATCAATGGTCGTATACTCGATTATGGTGAAGTAGAAGCTGATCTTCTAGAAGGAGAAACTAGTTCTGTACCTGTTGCCATAAATGGATCTAGCAATTCTCAAATGTCTCACCTCCAAAATAAGAAGAGGGATACAAATACTGTGACTAATGAGAATAAGTGGGCCCGAGTTCAGAAAGGCACTAAAGTTATTGTACAAGTTGTAAAAGAGGGGTTGGGTTCAAAAGGTCCCACACTGACTGCATACCCAAAATTTTACCACGCTTTCCAGGTGAGCAATTACCTTCAGGAGATTGCCCCTGATCTTTGTGATCGAGTAGAGTTATACAATAAAAGAATTCCTCTTTTTGATGAATTTAAGATAGAAGAAGAGATTAACAGCATGCTCAGTAAAAGGTGAGTGGCGGGCAATATTGCTTATGCTCTCAGTTGTCACATTCTCTAACTCTGAAGATGTGTATTGACCCATTTGTTAATTTTTGTTTCATGATCTCTTCACTTCATTGACCCTGTATATTTGGTTTTCTCTTTATTTCTTTGGGGGTGCGGTGAGTAAGTATTTTTCAACTATTTTTGTTGATGTTTACGTCTTTTGCCTTACAGGGTTCCACTGGCTAATGTAGGGTCTTTAGTGATAGAGCAAACCGAGGCATTAGTCTCTATCGATGTAAATGGAGGACATGGGATGTTTGGTCATGGAAATTCACAGGAGAGAGCTATTTTAGAAGTCAACCTTGCAGCTGCCAAACAGGTATGCTACATGCTGAACTCTAGCTCTCTCTTTACAATTTGTTTGCCTTGCACTGACAAGCAACTTGTATATTTCTTGCCAGGGAACATATTACTCGGTTGTGACTTGTAAGATGGTAACAGATCATATTACCATGTTTATGCAACTATTACCTGGTTGCCGTCCGATTTCCAAAAGATGTTATATCTTTCTTTCAAGGCTTTAAGTTAGATTCTCGTTTTTTTTTTTCATCTGGTTCTTTAAGCATTAAGATACTTGTTTGACAGAGAATAATGTGTTCCAGATTGCAAGGGAGTTACGACTGAGAGATATCGGTGGCATAATTGTGGTAGATATCATTGACATGGCTGATGAGTGTAAGTCGAAGTCTCCCTCTCTTGTGGGTTTGTGGAAGTGCTATTGACATATTTAGGCATAACCATAAGTTCATAACTGGTTTTGTCCTTAGGATGGATAGAAACTTACAGAACTTCATGGTTTTATGGGGAAAAGGAGGCAGGTTAATAAAAATACATAAAAAGATTTTTAACCGTCATCATTTTTATTTTGGGAAGTTATATTTATTCATGAATTCCTCTTTGGCACTGGCTTATTTCCATCAAACAAGAGATTGGTCTATGAAGAAGCTAAGAAGGCTGTTGAGAGAGACAGATCGATGGTTAAAGTCTCCGAACCGTCTAGGCATGGACTTATGGAAATAACAAGAAAGCGAGTGTTGCATTATCACGATTCACAAGCTTTTAGTTTTCAGTAAAATTTTAAACAGAATAATTTTGATGAAGATTTGCAGTTAACGCTGTCTGAACTATTTGTGATTACCCAGATGGTTGCTTGAAATTGCAAATACGTATATAGATTATTTAATATTCAGAAATTTATGTCTAAGAGCGGAACATGGAAATCTTCACAAGATTTATATATTAACAAGAGGATCTTCATACAATGCTTGATGAGCTCAGTCAAGGTTAATTGTTTTATGTGATGAATGATGGAATGATGTTGGCAGGTACAGCCTAGTGTGACGTTTATGATTAGTGAACCGTGCGCTTGCTGTCATGCCACTGGGAGATTAGAAGCATTAGAGACCTCCTCCTCCAAAATTGAACAAGAAATTTCTCGATTACTTGTAAGTGAAGTTTTAGACTACTATATGTTGCTTTGTGTGCATATAAATCTGAAAACTTGGGAAGAACTGGCAAATGCAATTGTGTATATGTTAGAAAGAAATGAACTACTCAATCTCCTTTTATTGACGGAGAACTATTTCTTTCAAGAATTGAAATCCTGCTAGCAGGCTTTACAGCTATTTTAACCTAATACCATATAATTTTAGTTCGTTCAATTGTTAATGTGCCTTTTGGAACAGAAAAGTTAATAGTTCTTGAAATTTTATCAGGCGATGATGGAAGAGAGACCGGACCCGGGAAACCCCAAATCTTGGCCAAAATTTATTCTGAGAGTTGACCGTCACATGTGTGAGTACTCAACTTCTGGCAAAAGGACTAGACTTGCATTCTTGAGCGGTTCCCTCAAGGTCTGGATTCTACTAAAGGTATGTAAAACCGACGAATATTCTTGATCCCAATCCTTCAGTTTCTGTTCAAGATTTAGGATGACATGGGACCCGGAAAATGGTTAACTTGAAACTTCAGATGAAAAGTCATTTTCAGATGAAAAGTCACATAAAGATCCGCCTCCAGTAACGATCTCAATGTTACAATCTTCGGAAGGCAGAGGTAACAATTCTGGCCACAAGGTGACCTTGTTTCCGGTCAAAAAATGGAAGACCGGGCGAATATGAGACTTGCCCGATCGATGTGTACTTGTTCTGTATACGGACTAGAAAATTTTCTTTCTGATTCATTCAAATGTTTATTATATCAGAGGAGGATGTAGAGAAAGGAGAAAAGAGAGGATTATATGGCATTTTGTTGATAAAAGCCTGTTAATTTATTGGATCACATTGTAGTAATGCTTGGCCAACAAGTTTTGTTAATAATACCTTTGTATTATTAAATAATACAAAGGTTTTTGAGCGGAGAAGTTATACGGTGTGAAAGTCGCTAACTTTTTAACTACAAACTCCTTCAAAGCTCTGATTTTTTGGACAAAAAGCTTGCTTCTTTCACGGGTATTTGAGCTTTCTGCCTTTCTGGGTTCTAATTAAAGTGAATCTTCATCTAATTTGATATGGGTTTTCTTTGGTTTTGCC